GAAGATGAGACACAGGGACATACACGCAGGGAGCATGTGAGAGTGAAAGCAGAGACCAAGGTGATGCTTCTACCAGCAAAGGAGCGCCAAGGATTGCCAGCAAACTGCTGGGAGCTGGGAGAAGACTGGACTAAGCTCTCAGAAGAAACCAATCCTGACAACACCTTGATCTGAAACTTCCATCCTCCAGATCTGTGAAACAATTCCATTCTGTTGTCTGGGCCACACAGTTTATGTGACAGCAGCTCTAAGAAACTGAGCCAACTCCAGAGGCGGCTCCTATGGGTGGCATCAAGGAGGACAGTTCTTTCTGGACAGAAGGAGGCACTGCAGTCCCACAGGAAGGAGGGGGACATGTGAAAGCCCTGAGAATGTTCCTGCTGGATTCCAGCTCAGCGAGCTGTCTGCCTCGTTCAAGGAACAACTTGACATTCTGAACCTCACCCTGCTCAGGACTGTCACTCATTAGCCATAATGTTGTATCCCTGTGTTTCTTTGTGATGTTACCTCCACATTTCTCCATGTTTTGTTGTCCCAATTTGACCACACACTCCTTGAATGCTGGGATGATGCTATAAAGAAAAGTGAGAGTCAGGGGCCCTCGCTGATAAAAATTCTTGGTGTGGGGCACCTGCATGGCTCAATCAGTTAAGTGTCTACCTTCAGCTTAGGTCATGGTCCTGGGGTCCCGGGATTGAGCCCAGAGTTGGGGAGCCTGCTTCTCCCTCTCCCTCTGCTACTCCCCCTGCTTGTGTTCCCACTTTCTAATAAAATCTTAAAAAAAATTCTTAGTGTGACCTTAGGGACGTCCCTTCTCCCTTCTGTACCTAGTGTTTTCATCCGAGAGATAGGTGCATAATCTTTAAGGCCCTATCTAGTCACCATATTCTGTGATTCTGACTCTTAGCATCCTTGTTATTTAACCAACCTGCTTGCTTGGGATGCAAAAGGAAGGGAGACTCAGGAAACGCATCTTGAGATGTGCTGACAAGCCAGCCTTTTGGGGTTAAATGTGTCAGACTCATTTAATGAGAGGGCTGGACCCCAAGGGCTCAGGGATCAGTATGTACTGCAGTGGCTCCCAGCCCCACTGGGTCCCCTTCCTAGGCTCTAGGGCTTCCCACTTCAACACCTACCTGTCCATAAATCCTCTCCCTTAGTGATTGCCAATGCTTCCTCCTTATACTGTGTGTGCCTGACCTCATGCCCATGGCGGGACTGGGCTCCAGAATGCCTGTTAGAAGCTGCCTGTGGCTGCTTTGGGGGCTTGGAAGAACAATGCTACCTTTCCGTGGGTTATAGTATTTTGAGTAGCTCACTTGTCTTACCTCTGAGGGATCACAGCATGCCTCAGCCTCCACTAAGAAGAAGCCTGGACCTGATATAAGAGTCTTTAAGGATCTTCCTAATGGCAGATAGTCCAGAGGCTGGAGCAGCTGGGTAAATCATGCTCTTCTGGTTCCAGGAAACAGGGACTCACACAGACCAGTTCAAGTAATGGTGGGTAATATAGCAGTGAAAGCAGGGACCCGATTAAAAAGTGCTTATAATAGGGTTGGAATCTTTTAGAAATCGAAGACTGGACACTCAATGACGAGCTTCATAGAACCAGGTGCTAGAAGGTCATTCTACTTCCAAGCTTCCTCTGGGGACCTCACTCCAGTGCTCTGCGGCTAATGTGACCCCACTGCTCTCCAGGGATTCACTTCTGTCGGCATCTCTCTGCTTCTCTTCCCCATTAGTGTTCTCCGAGGCATGTTTCTGGTAGAACACGAGGCAGCAAAAGTGAAGACGTGTGAGTGAACGTTTTTATTGTGAAAGCACTTAGTACTTGGTTTATTTTTACATTTATATTCCCCAAATTTATATTTGGGGAAAATGCACACCTAAGAAGTATATCAATTTAAAGGAAATCAGTACATAAATAGTCAGGGTGGGATGCTATAGCAAAATCATAAAGGTGGGTCACACATGACCAAAGTCTGAGAAACCCTGGAGTGGCTGTCCTCGGATCCAGTGTCTACCCTCAGATAAATCAGCGTTCAGGGAAGTAGGGTTGCCTGATGTGGGATACGGCTGCCCAAGTTCTGGCTCTTCTCCAGAGGCTGAGGACAGAGCAGTATCTTCGGGAAAATTCTGTGGGCAGGGGCAGCTTGAGGTGTTACTATGGACCTCTAGGTTGAGTTGTAGTTCTGGGGGCCACTGTCCGGGAGTGTCTGACGTGGGCGTGTGGTTTCCAGCCTTCTGTGACCTTACTCTGAGGGGAGGTTGTGAGAATTGAATGTGATCATTGATACAAAGGTGCTTTGAAAATCAAACTAAGGAGATAGTTTGGCAACCTCCCTCTGCTCTCCCTCCTCAGTCTCTTCATGGGGCGATGACAGATTGAGCTGACAGAGGGAGCTTCCAGCTTCTTCGTAGTTCTGCTTGGTTCTAAGTGCCCTGCCTCTCCCAGTTTAGCCCCCAACCACCAACCTGGTGTCCAGAAACTTTTCCTCTAAAATGCCAACACTATAGAGAAGATCACGAGCCCCCTGTTCTCTAAGTTACGTATTTGTAAAATGTGGCATTCGTGCCCTGCTTTTTTAATAAAAATTCCATATTCCCTTGGCCTAGCTTATCTCTTTAGAGATGTTTGCTTTTTACTTAGATTGTCAATTGGCTCCAGTTTCTCTTTGATCTTCCATTTTGTTTGAACTCGAACGCCCTGGGCCCACCGTCTCTCTATTAAACAGTAATGACACATAAACGAATTCATTTGGAGGCCCTCTGGGAGCGGAGGGGCCCTGGGGCAGCCTCCCTCAGGCCTGTGAATTGTCATTTCTGAAGGCTTCTGTTTTGTAAGTTCTTTTGCCAAGTTTCTATGGGAGCGAGGAGATCATCTTCTCCCTTTTCAAAGAGCAGGGTGAGCTGAGGCCTCGAGCTGGCAAGTCCTCTAAAGTCATTTTTCAAAGGAAACCTGAACCCAAAGGCCATGTGGCTGGCAAAGGGTGGTGTGACTTTGTGAGGCTCTCTCTGGGGCTTTGGGTGCTCAGCCCCACAGACCTCTCAGCACGTGCCCGGAGCCTGTTGCAAAGGCTCTGCCAGGGGCCACCTCTGTCCAACCTCTGCTCCACAGCCCCACCCCACAGCCACCCAGGAACCAGGAGAGGGCGAGTGCGGACTTTCTCCTCTGGGCCGGGGGCCAGGACCATGCTTGTCCTCACTGCTCTTAGGTCTCATCAATCAAACTTGCTCCTTGGGGCTTTTTGAGGTGAAACAAAGCTGGATGCCAAAGCAAGCTGGGGTGAACTAATGTCTGAATCATGGACTCATAAATTATCTAGTTAATCTAATCCTCTCATGCACAGGTTGGGAAAGGGACACAAAGGGGAAATGGTTGTCCCAAGTCACAGAGGAGGAAAGGGCTGCTTTCCACCAGAGTTCTCTGGACCAAGAGCACTTCTCCAGGGATGGAGGTTTGCTTGGCTGGATGCGAGTCTATATGTACCTGTCAGTCATCAATCACACAGCAGGTACCGGAGACGCTCCAAAGGCACCAAGGCTGAGAAATGTATGACAGGGCCAGATCTGTTCATATTGTCCCCTGAACCCTAGCAGAGGAAATTGTTTATGAAGCTGGGAGGCAAGAGGCACTTTCACAGAACAGGCAAATTCTCCAAGACACAGAGAAGGAAAGGACGCCTATACCTTTCATGTCAGAAGGGCTAAAAGGGAAGTCACAAAAGCTTAGCCTAGAGCTTTGAGCAAAAGACAGAAGCGAGAACCAGCCAGAAAGAGAGGTGAGAGGTGGTCCATCCCATATCCCCCGCCGGAGCTCCTCCTGACCAGAGTCTGGAGCCTGCAGCCTGTCCTGGTCTGGGAGCCAACAGTGGGTCCCTGCCCAGCTTCCAGGAGCCAGCCCCAGTCTCAGCCTGCCCGAGACCCCAGCAGCCAGCAGCCACTCCTCTCCACGAGCCAGTCCCGCTAGGTTCAGAGCAGAGGAAACCAGACCCATTCAAGTCCTGATCCCCACACAAGGAAAGACCTCTGGAACGAGCCCACTTGACTTTTCAACATTTTATTCTTGTATTTGTACAGCTATATTTTACAACGCGGTAATGCAGTTTAGACACAGCCAAACCCTGTCTCCAGAGTAGTTCTAACACAAGCATGACGCAGAATGTGATGAGACAAACATTCCCAAGGAGAGCTTAGTGAGCGACAATTTCAAGTCCCTGTGTCTGCCTACACTTCAGAAGGGATGGCGCGCTCGTCCATCACTGAAAACTTCCATGAAAAAAGGCACCGTAGGACACGTTGTACAGGTATATACAAACCGAAAACTAGAACAAAACTACACATTTTTCCTTCGGCAGCTTTTTTTTTTTGTTCTTTTTGTGTTTTTTTTTTAATACACACTTTGTAAATTGTAAACCTTCACTTGCAAAAAAATACAAATACACTGAGGCATTTTAGACAAAATATTTTCTTACTTATACAGATGCAATACTTAAAATATTCTCTTAAGTGCTCTTTCTCAATAAAGATTCTCAGATCCGTGTCTGCCTGCAGATACAAAATCGAGCCTTTAACGCAGTTTTATATTTTTAATATATCTTTTTTAGGTTTATATATATTTATTTTATATATATATATATTTATATATTTACAGCTCTGCCATATATTCCTTCACCTTTGGTTAAAAAAATTAAAGCCCTCTCTTTGATAACATACCGAAGTCTCTTCTTTTAAAAGAATGCACATTTACATACAAAAGAAACATCTGTCCCCGCAAAACATATACATTCCTCATTTTGCAGACCAAGTCAAGTCAAAACTTTTGCCTACTCCCCCACTTTGATATATAAAATGGTTTTGCTTTTTGCTGACATGGTTTGCCTTACACATAGGAGAAGAAGCAATATTATTTTCTTAATGTTTTATGGCAGTAGGGGAAGGGAAGCTGCCTTGGCCCCCCAACCCCACGCCCCTCCCCCCACCCCCACCCCAGCTATGATTTGCACTAGTGGATGAAAGAGGCACTACGTCATGGGATGAAAGTCGTAAAGTGTTACAGTATCCTTTGGGTAGATTCTGAGAAGGGACTCGAATGGAAAGCATCAACACTCCATGCTTCAGCAGGCTTTGGGGAGCTCCGGGGGCAGGTCGGTGGCAGACACGCGGTACTGCACCTTGGTGTTGGTGATGGCGCCGTGCTTTTGGCGCAAGTGAAGACGCAGCTGGCTTTTGTGACGGAAATGCAGGTTGCACTTCTCACACTAAAGGAAAACCAGAGGCAGACCATTAGCTGTCACCAACCCCAGGGATGTGTCATTGCCCGAAGACCCAGAGAAGGAGATTCTTCCTCAGAGAGATCTGGGCAGCTCATCCCTCTGGGAGGCCAGGTTGAGAATTCTGGCTCCAGCTAAGTGATAAGGAGGTGTTGTGCAAATGCCCCTTCCCTCTTTTCTAAAGTGGGGAACTGTTGCTCCTGCTTTTCCCTAGCCAAGTGCCCCATTTTGCTCCATGGGTCCTGGCTTCCCCTTCAGTAAAGGACTAAATCGACACGCTCTGAAGGTCACTCTTCACTGGACACTGGTGCATCTAAACTTCCAGCAAATACTCATTGTAGTCTTACTGTGTGCCAGGACTATCCTGACACTTGAGTGAATTTTTTATCTGAACACATCAACTCCATGGAGAAGGTACTATTATCAGGCTCATTTATAGCTGAGGAAATAAGGATATCATGAAAATTTTTTAAAAATTTAAAAAGTTAAAAATCAAAAAAATTAAAAAAAAAAAAGAGGAGATTTAATTTGCCCAAGAACAAAAGGCAAGAGAGAAAACATTCACTCAGGGACTCTTAAATAAGTGGATAAAAATACCTCCATTTGCAGGTTCCCATCTGTGACACAGGTTAACCATTCACTCGTTCATTCTTGTGTCCATCACTACCTACAGTGAGGCCATACACCCACCCAAGTCAATGTCATCGATCATAGTGGTTTCCACGCTTATAAACCACGGGACTCTCTTTTCAAGTTCAACAGAAACTCAAAAGGTAAAAGAGGCGGTGGGCTTGACTGAAAGAGCACAGTCTGAACACTGTTCATTCATCTAAGGCATCCTCATCCTTTTATAGAGAAAGAAAACTGCGGTCCCCTGAGAGAGGGTCACAGCTTGCCTACGGCCCTAAAAAGGTCCTTGTCAGAGTCAGAATAAGAAGCAGATATCCCAGCTGCCCACCAGTATCTCTCCCCTCTGTAGCAGAGATCGGCAAACTATTTTTAACTGGGAAAGAGCCGGACAGTGAATATATCACAATGACCACTCTGCCCTTGTGGTAGGAAAGTCCCCAGGGATAATATGTAAGCAAATGAGCATGGCTGTGTCCCAATAAAACCTTGCTTATGGACACTGAAAATTAAATTTTATGTAATTTGCACATGTCACAAAATGTTATTTCTCCATCTTATAGCCACTTAAAAATATTAAAACCATTCTTAGCTTATGAAATGTTCAAAAATTAGCCTGCAAGCCACATCTGGCTGAAACCCTCCTCCTGAACACTAGGATTCCAATGGCCCACTCATGGTACCTTGTCGCGTAGCTGGTCACCTGCTCCTTCTTATAATGGCCTTTTCCCTGTCTTTTTTTTTTTTTTTTTTTTTTTTTTGTTATATCACCACACTTTTCTGAGTCTCCTCCCACTCTCATGGCTGCCCCTTCCCAAACACCTTAGGTCCTCTTAAGGAGACATCTCGCCCAGCACAGCAGCATACTGTAAGAAGCCACTTAGTGTGGAATGAATGGATGACTCCAGAATCGATGTATCTATAGTCCAGACCTCTTTCCTAGGGCCCAGATCACCTGGCCCAATACCCCTACTTTACAGATGAGCAAACTGAGACACAGCCAATGTCCAGCAGCGTGTCTGACAACCAGTCCTCAACCAGGTCTTATGACCATTAGTTCAGTGATCATCCCCCACTGTGTGCTTGAGATTGGAGCAAACAATTCTGCTGCCTGCCTCTCCCCCACCAGCCCTCCCCCAACCCTGCCTTGCCCAGGCCAGCTGACAGCCACAAGAGGCTCACATACATGGTAAGGTTTCTCTCCTGTATGGATTCGCAGGTGGCTCTTCAGAGTCTGAAGGTGCCGGAAACGGGTGCCACAGATTTCACAGGGATAGGGCTTCTCTCCAGTGTGGATGAGCACGTGGGCACGGAGGTGGGCCACCTGAATGGAAAAGCGAAGCATGAGAGGCTCTGTTGGGGCCCCCTTCCCCCACCGCCCCCTGGAGTCCCTCATCAGCACACGGAGGCCGAGGGGTCTCTTCCCCGTGGCCCTGCTCACTTGTACAAATCTGGCTCCACACGTTTCGCATTTGTAGGGCTTCTCTCCAGAGTGAATTCGAGTATGGGTTTTCAGGTTGGCTGGCCGGTTGAACTGGGCTCCACAAATGTTACAACGATAGGGTTTCTCACCTATTCCCGAAAGAAAGGGAACAAAGAAAGCCATATTTGTTGGAGGTCTCCACAGTCCCGGGTCCCTGGATCTCAAAGCCACCTGCCCTTCCTGGGCCATGTCAGCTTTCTCTCCTTCGGAAGATGTCTGATAGAGGATGCAGGGGCCTGCCAGTCCCCCGCCCTCACCAAACACACACATACCACCACAGGCTGCAGGCTGGGGCAGAGGGGACACAACATTGGGGGTGGGACAGGGAAGCAGGGAGGGAGGTTCCAGGAGGCCTTTGAAACAGCTATGTCATTAGGATGATTTAACTGCAGACTTGGATAAGTCACTCTCCTTCTCTGGACCTCAGTTTCCCTTTTTGGAATTTGAGGGGTGAATTTAGATGACATGGTAAGGCTCTTCTAGCTCTTCCCTTGGATTAGACTGATTCAGTAATCAAGCCATTCACCAGGAAGATACAATCAGGATGCTCTAGTTTCTCTTTTAGAAAAACACATGCTTTTCCACTTTGTGGCAACAACAGCTGGATTCCATTTGCAAGAAGGTTGGGCCTGAGTCAGAGTAGATGCTCAGGCTGGGGAAGCCAACAGAAGGCCTGAGCCTGCCTTTGTGGAAAGTTTCTGGGATAATGGACACATTTAAAATACCAAGAGAGAGTCAACTTTGGCCAAAAATTGGGTCATTAGAAGCTACCTGGTAAAGGAATGTGAGTTGATAAGGAGCGAGCCCTGAGAGGAAATCAAGAGGCTTTTAATTTTTTTCTGGGGTTACAAAAACCCAATCTGCTTCACCCTCCTGGTCTTTGCTGTTACACATGTGTGCTGGGATTAATACTTCTGCCCCAGCAATGGTAGAGAAGCAGGAAAGAGCGTCTCCGAGAAAAGACAAAGAATAGAGGGAGTGGTTGGGTTGCTAAGCTAAACACAACAGGGTTAGGCCCACATCTGGATCCGAGCAGGGTCTGCTCCCTGCCTCAGCCCACCGGGGATCAAGGCTCCACGCTGATTTCTCTAGGGTCCTCCCCCCATCCCACCCGCAGGAACCCTGGCCAGCTGTGGTGGGGCGCGGTAGGGCCATACCCGTATGGACGGTCTTGTGGCTGGCGAGGTTGCCCTTGTAGCGGAACGAGGCCTGGCAGCGGTCACACTTGTAGGGTTTGTCACTGTGGGTCTGCAGTGTGTGTCTCTTGAGTGAGGCCTCCTCAGAGAAGCGGCAGTCACACTCATTGCAAAAGAAGGCCCCGTTTTCTGTTGGAGGTGGGGGGGATGCCACCGTTAGAATGTGGAAGGGAGGTAGGGCTCCAAGGCCACTCCCCTCTGCAGCTGCCTTCAGCACCACATGGAACCCCCAAGCTCCACCCACCTGACATTTGGGGTCTGTAGGCATTTTATCTTTCTGAGCATTTAGAGTCTCCATCATGGAGGAGAAAGGAGATAGAGTTGAATACTGAGGTGCAGAGGGGAAACTCAGACCAACAGCTACCCATGCGGCCTTCAGGGAAGCTCAGCAGGGCTCCTCCGTCTAGAGAGAGCCCTGAGAATGGACTTTTCTTCTTGGTTCACTGTTTTATTTACATCCATACACGGGAGCCCTCAAGCAAGATCCTGAGCCTCGATAAGCCTATCTCCAACTCTGTCTTCAAATCAGGACAGTCAACCCTGGTTTGCACACCCAGAGGAGCATATTGTAGGACACAAAGCGTTCTAGGAATGTGAGGTAGAAAATCCAACAGTACGTGGAGGCCATTAAAGGAGGAAGTAAACAGGGTCACCCTGTGCCTCTCTGCATTCCACGTCCCCCAAACACTTCTATGAGACTGGGAGAGCCAACAAGAATGGAAGTAGAAATGGCCAGAGGGAAGGAACTGGATGCAGAGAAAAGGCAAATAGCCAGGGGGACAGACGGGGACAGTCCCTGCTCTCCAACTACATGTCTACAACCCTGTGCCAAATCTCACAGTGTAAGTAACCGATTTTTCCCTTCTATGAGAACGTTTTGAAAATGACAAGTCATGGTGGCTCACCCCTGATTAGGAATGACTAGGCTATCCTCCTGCAGCCAGGGGGAAAAGATTGCCTTTTTTATCTAATAAAAACTGGGGATGCCAATCACAGAGTGTCCAAAACTTCAATTTAATAATTCAGTCCAGCTAACCTAATTCAGCTACCATTAGCTGAGCACCTACTCCATGTTAGAAACTCTCTCGGACCTAAGGGAGATGCAGGAACAAGTAAGCCTGGCTGCTTGTCCTTACAGAAGGCAGGGGGAGCCGACAGGGGTCAGTCCGAGCAGCTAGGTCCTGAGCAACTGAGAAAGCTCTGGGAGTTAGAGCCAGTCCCACAGACCACCTTGGCTGGAATGCCACTGAAAAGGCTGTTTGGTCTTTCTCTATTACCCCAGATTAACTCCAATACCTCTTTCCTTGTTCAGGTCAGCCTGGTTCAAGAGGTTCAAGAGGTCAAGAGTGGGGTGACAGGCTGGTGATTCTATGTGCCAGTGACCTTCTGGTCGGGGACTTCTCCCAATCAGGGACAACAGCATAAGTGAAACGGAAATGCAAACCCCAGGGAGCAGAGGCTGGGGCCTTGCTTATCTCTGGGAAGGGACTCACCACAGCTGGAATCCGAGTACTCAGACTGGGTCTCTCCCATCTCCTCGGGAAACGTGGGGCCGGCGGTATGGAGGCACATCTCTGCATGCTGGGGGGACTGAGAGCCGCAGGACGTGCACTTGGGGGGGTGCAAGTAGAGCGGGGAGTGGTTCTCGCTGCTGCTGCGGGGGGAGCCTGTCAGGGACCTGTGGGCAGGAGGAAAGAGAGCTTCAGCAGCTGGAGAGGGTAAAGCGCTCAGCCTGGCCTGGAGGCTGCCCCCGCCTTCCTGGGCTCAGGTGAACCCAGAGGCCAGAGTTGGGCTGCCTCCCTCTGGATCTGGGGCCACAAAGTTATCCTTAAGCCCACTTCCAAACAGCATATGCCCTGAGATCACTGGTGGGGTCGAACCAGACCAAAACCCCAACCTAGGTCAAAGTCTTCCCCTCAGTACTGCGGTCTGTTGGTCCACTCAGTCCAAAGTAAGTACGAGCTCACCCTGCCACCCTGAGACCAAAGAAGCTGCCCTTGGGGTTCCTGGAACGCTCTTCTACCACAGCTGGGAGTTCTCTCTCTTGCTACGACAAAATACACCAAAGCTTACTATGCTTCCTTACTGAGGCCAATTCCATCAATGGGTGCTTACTCCACACCTCTACTGTACCCAGTATTCAGACAAGAACAGAACATGGCCCCTGCATCCGTCGGAAGAAGTGCCCCCCGTGGGAGCCCCTGACCCCAGGCCCAGACTGCCTCTGAAAGCACCTGTTGACGATGTTATTGAGCCGGCTGGCCTGTGGGATGGTGGAGTCCTCCCCGCCGCCGCTGAGCTTGGTTGGGGACTGGAGGTCAAGGCTCTCGGGCTCCATCGGCGGCTGGCAGGCCGGCGGGGCGGTATAGGCTCGAGGGGAGAGGCGGCCCAGCTCGGCCTGCTCAGGCCCCTCCGGTTTGGCATTCTGGTTGAGGCTGTTGAGCACGATGAACTTGTATTTCTTCCAGTTGCAGGCTTTGGGGTCGGTGGGGCTCTTGGCTGGAGGCGAACCAGAGGTCTGGAGGATGCAGGCGTTCTTGCTACTGCAGGACTCCGTGGGCGAGTTGGGCTGGCAGTCGGACTTCTGGGGGCTCTGTGGACTGACCAGACCCTTGCGGTTCAGGGGCGCACTGGGGGGCTCGAAATGCAAAGCGATCTCATCCTCTGAGGAGGGCCTCTCTTCCTCCTTGCCAGCCTTGTCACAGGGGAAGTATGGGGCACTCCGGGCCGAGGGGGCGGCAGGCTTGGGGCCTTCGGCCACACCGTAGTGCATGTCACTGCGTGTCTCCTCTGGGGCCGCCTCCTTGGGTGAGTAGATGCTGCTGTGGCACACACCGGGAGAGATCTCCATGGCTGGCCGGCTGTAGTCACCGGGGACGGGCCTGACGCTATCGCAGGGGTGGGCCCGCTCCTTAGGGAAGGGATTGGCCACCGGCATCCGGGCATCCCGCAGCTCTTCGTCAGAGAAGAGGAAGCTGCTGACAGGGAGGTGACTGTAGACGGGATAAGAGGCCGGCGGGGTGGACAGGCCGCTGTACAGGCTGGGGGCGAAGGCTCTGCTTTCGCACCCAGGGGCGTTCCTCAGCGGCAGGTTACTCTCCACCACCTCCCGGCCCCGATAAGCCATGATGTCTTGGGGCATCAGCATCCGGCTGTTCAGAAACTCTTCACGGGGAGGCTTGAGCGCAGGCACCATCTCTGCTTCACTGCGGGAGAAAACAGAGAGGAGACAGGGGCCTCCAAGTGAGAACCGGTGAACGGAGGACCTTCCGAGAGACTCTGGCGCATGTAGCCACATTTGTGCTTGGTCAGCCAGACATGAGGGCTGTGGCTTGGGAAGGGAAATTCTTGCAGTCACAAGGCTTTTATGCTAGAAATCTAACAAGCTGGGACACAGCGCGGGAGACTGGGCCCAGACAAGAGCAGTGAGTCAGCCACACAATGTGTGCCCGCTTAGACCTATGACCCCATGTTTAAGCCACATTCTGTGTATATGTGCGTGAATCTGTCATTCTTCAGATATTACACAACATAAAGCTTTCAGAGCCCTTATTTCATCCATGCAAACTCCTGCAAGGGAAGAAAGGCATTACTGTCTCCATTTTACACCCATGGAAATGGAGGCTCAGGGTAGGAAGAAGTTACACAATGCATGTTCAGAGGGTCACCGACGAACCGGTGCCCAGTGGGAGAAAGGACTCACCCTGCGAGCTGCCTAGAGGCTCAGGGGCAGTTTTCTTTGGGGGACAGGCAGCAGCCAGGCCTGCTTTCCAATCCCAGCTGCGCCACTTAGTGGCGATGGGACCTGGAGCAAGTTACTTAACTGCTCTAAGCACCAGGCCTGACCCAGAGAAAGTACTCGAAAATGACCGCGATCATGACCTTGCTACCATTATCACCCACAGGAGACAACGAGCTCTCGCTACACAGACTTGAAGGGACATTATGCGGGCGAAAAGTAGGTCAGCTCAACATGATCACAGTTAACAGAGCTAGAACCAATGAGCGAAGGTTAAGGGAGCCAGATTTCGACTCGCCATAAAGAGGAGCTTTCTAACAGTCTGAGGTAGGCAGCAAGGCTCTGGGAACACTGGGTTCCTGTCTCCTGGAGGTGATCAAACAGAGGCTGGAAACCCTTCTGTTTCAGAAGGGAGGCAATCATCCTAGAGCAGCTGAATCAAACATGCTAAAAAAGTCAAGCCCCGAGTTTCTGCTCCACTTAGCAGAGCGTTTTGCTTTTTGGGCTCTCAGGTCCCCCTCCCCCACCCCATGCCTGCCTTAAACGATGGGCATGTCTGACCAGCCCTCAAAGAGGGGATCAGACCCAGTGAACTCAATTTAAGTCCATAAATGTCCTCTCTCGGAGGAGCAGGGCAACACGAAAGATGAGGAAAGCAGCGCACAGTCTGGAAGGGGAACTAAGGCACATATGTAAATCATTAGAATAGAAGTCGAAAGAACTGAAACACACATGCAAATAGTTAAAATGGGAGGAAGCTCTAATGGACAGGCAGGCGGCTCAGGGATACAGAAGAAGAGCTGAGGGAAGAAGACTGGCAATTGTAAAAACAGCCCCAGAGGAGCCGGCTTCCAAGCTTGGCCTGGCAGGATGGGTGGGAGGAAAGGGCCCATCCAAGGAATGGAAGAAAGCAAGAGGGGATTGAATGCATAGGGCATATCTGGATAGCAGTGCAAGAATTAAGAAGGCAGACTTGTGCAAAAGCTAGCGGAACCATAGGCTGTGGCGTATCGTAGAGGATACGCATGCATTACCAAGGATTTCGGGTGCCTTCCACTTCCAAGGGCTCTGCCCTCAGCAGCACCTCACCTGGCCTTGATAAACTTCCGGCAAGTGTCCACAACATGCTCCATCTGCAGGTACATGGCCGTGGCCATCACGGCCATGATGTTGCCCTCCCGCAGGTTGAGGCGGGACGTGTACATGAAGTCCAAGAGGATGCAGAACCCCTCAGGGTTGATCTCGGGATCCAGGTTGATCACACTCAGGTTACATTTGAGCTGGTCCGTGAAGATGCTATAAAACAGGCCACTGTAACACAAACGCACGTGTCACAAGAACGGACGGGACTGGCGGTCAATTACAGTCAGTGTCAAGGCTTGTCTCCTCTCCCCTGGGCCTCGCTCCAGAATTTCCACGGCAATTAATAATAACTGCCACTTACAGATGGCTTACTAAACGCCAAAGAGTCATTAAGCACTTTACATACATTATCCTGTGTTCCTCACAACCTTGCCAGGTAGACATTACCATTCTTCCCCTCTACACATGGGGGAACCCAGATCAGAAGGCAAATGATGTACTCAAAGTCACAGAAGCTATTTTCCTTATCGTCTTAACTGCATGGATTACCAGAGTGAAATGTGCACTCATTTGCAGTAACCATTTTTAGTCTATAACTTTGAGATAAGCATTTCTCTTCCTATTCCAACATACGATCCTTATTTTTAAAATGCTATTGTCTGTTTTTAGAAACAACTTGGGTATCGACGACAAATAAATAAAATGGTGCCTATGTCTACAGTCTACTGATTTTCTGCAAGTCTGGAGACTTTCTCAAGGTCAATATTCCTAGGAGACAAAAATTAATCCTCAGGCTGTACCTCCAGGGACCTTGTTGTCTGGTAGAGGAAAGAGGGCTCAATTACAAGTCAGGATTCAGGCTGGCATCTCAATTCTGCTTGTTCTGAATGGGTTGCCAGAAGTGAGCCAGGCTTTAACCAGTAAGGAGCTGTGCAACCTTAGGCGAGATACTTAACCTCTCTGAACCCTGGTTTCTTTCTCTGTAAAGCAGGAACAATAGCGTCCACCCGACAGGGTCATGCATGCCTGGCCCAGAGGAAGCACTAGGTTAGCATCTTCTATTACTTTTACATCTCCATAAACTTCTGTTCTTGCCACTGTTAAAACAAAGGTGTTTGCTGTAGATGTTGGGTAAGCTCTCTCCTGGCAAAAGCGATCCCTGACTTTACATCAGCTCACCTATCTGTACCTTCGTTTTACTGTCTGTAAAAGGGAAGTAATTATGCCTCCGTAACATGGAAGGCTACTGCAGAGATCCAGGGAGATGAGGTAATATGAACCAGCTCCAAAAACTCAAAATACTCGACCAATAGGAAGAATCGGCCGGCTCTTTCTCCCTAACTCTCTCACACACACATAGCCTGAAACACCCGTGGAAAGAGAGCCACGGGATAAAATACATGCATTACAGAATCAAAGGGCAAAAGACTTCAAATTCCCTTGCTTCAAATACTGTAAAACCCCCTTTCACATCTCCTTTCTTCACTGGTTGACTGAAGTTATTCTCTGTGTTTGTCCCAAACACATCCTTTCTTGAGACAGTATACCATTTCTGCTCCCTCTCTTCCCACAGAACAGAAACTCTTTCTTCTCTACTGTGTGTTCATTCACTCGCTTCCTGGGAGCCTACTCCGCCAGGCCACACGCTGGCAGTCTGGAGACAAACGAGACGTAATCCCAAACACAGCAAAAGGCCCGCACGACCTGCCTGGCCGCCTGCCTACACCATCGCTGCCCTCTTATACGTCCATCTTTCCCCTCCCCCCCTCACCTGCAGGCCATGAGGACTGTCTTATGGGCTCTGAACTGCTCACGGCTCACCACGATGACAACATCAGTCAAGATGTCACGGCTCCGGAGGCGATTAAGGTTGAGGAGAACGTCACTGGCGTGGCGGGTGAACTGGATACAGCTGTCAGCCGGGGAGGCCATTTTGTCTTCACCTGGAAAGAAAGGGGTCAAAATCTCATGAGTTCTCCAGAACCCGATTCCTGCTTACCAGGGGGGTGAAGACAGACAGCGCAGCCTGCTAACACATGGGCTGCACACCGAGGTGCTTGTGCTTGGTCTTGGACCAATTTTGGGGTCCATCTCTGCACATTACTGTTCACATCTGTAAGATGGGAAAAAAAATCTTTCTCTAACAAGTTGGACTATAAAGCCCTTTTGGGGACAGCAGTAGTGAATGAATATCTGTAGAGTGCTTTTCCCACATACCAAATACTCTGCCAAGCACGGAGAAGCAGTGAGTGTGTGACAGGGAGAGAAACCACAATTTAAAGGTTAGCCCGCCAGCTTTATCTTTTGCTAGCTGCGTGACTTGGGGCAGACTGTTCACTGTTTCTGGGCTTTGGTTTCCCTAATTGGGAGAAGTACTACCTATGTGGTTGTAAAATTTAGAGATCTGTGCCTGGTCCCTAGTAGGTTCTCAAAAATCGCAGTTATTCTCGTCAGGATCTCATTTCATTATCCCAGTCACCATCTGTTCTTCCTCCTTTAGGCTCTCGAGTTGTCTGAATGTACTCCAAGCTCCTAGCACACTGCCGGTGCATAGTAGGTGACTACATTGGCTCTGAACTCCAAAATGAGTGAGGGAAGGAATGATCGTACCACAGTTAAGATAGTCTTACACAGGGGTAAATGGGTGAGGGAGAGGGAATCGGCTATCCTTTATCTCCACGAACGAAAAGTGGCCAAGTTCACGGCAACACATGTATCGGCAAAGTCAAAAGAAAGTTTGTCCACAAAAGTTTAAAGCATATAATTAGATTTACTTACCCAACGCCTTGATTCACAGTCCAAAATTTTGCTTAAAATCTGCAGGGAAGGGAAAAAGCAAACAGAAATCGATTCCATGAATGTTAGATTGTCCACTATGGTCTTATTTTAGGACACACGTACTCAGTTTTACTTTGATAGATGCAGCCTGCCAGCTGGAGCGGTTTTACCACAAGCTAGCAAACATTTTTCCAGCTCTACTCTTACGGAAACAACAGGCACCCGAAGCTATGCGATAATCATATTTTTGCCCTGAGCACTGGAAACACAACTGCATACAGTAATTATATGTACATATACACATAGAGTTCCTTTGTCAAAGTAGAAGGTGTATGCCATCCAAAGGCCACTTGTGTTCATGGGATAGAAAAATATAAGAGAAGTGGTTCTTTCAGTAGTAATGAGAATGATCCTTCGGGGGCCCGAGAACTCTGAACAATCTCCAAAACCTGCTAAAATATTATCTTTAGAGTTTAAAAATGATTTCTCAAGGTCTACTGGAGTCAGTACACTTATCCCTATTTCACTGGTGATGAAACGGAAGCTCAGCGATTTAAGTGGCTTGGGTAGGACAAAAAGTCAGGCAGTAATTCCTGACTGTCTGATCTTTTAAGACTAAATACAGGATCTGCAGAATACACCCAGAGATGGCGTGACTATGCTTTCCTTGAGTATCTTTGTCTTTCTCAAAATTTCCTCTTCTTTCCCTCTAGGGTCGAAGACCAGGTATAGGGCTACACACTTCCAAGCTTGTGCTCCCCCTATTGGTCAAAGAGTTAGCTGCGTGCTTTAGCTAAGAACTGGCCCAGTAGCACTCATGACATATGTACCTATTCCAAATTGGTTTCTCTAAAGCAAAATGATTTTAAAGCACAGGTGTAAGACTCTCACTTATGATCATATGTGGGTTACAAAACAAAACAATATCTTAATCCTCTTCCACTCCCCCCATCCCTTTTTTTCCCCCCTAAGCACAGCCCTTTAGAGCTATTTTCCGGGTAAAGGGGCCTGAGGCCAGGGAGGTCATGTTGGGCCACATAGATGGTTAGTGGCCTGGCCCAAGGTGTTCTGGCTCAAATTCCTGTCCCTTTTCCAAATCAGCCTATGTGCTGTAGAACATGCAAGACAGCACCCTAATGTGGGTGAATCTCATTTTTAAGTTCCTTCCCCCACACAAACACTTTGCCCCCATTCCAGTCTGCTGAATCTTACCAAATGAGCACTCTAAAATGAGAGGTTTCCTTGAGTCTGTAACCAAACATTCTGACATTTCTCTGTGGTCCCAAGTGCCAGTCACTCAATCCCATCGGCTTCAAGGTTAGTGTGTGCATGTGAGTGAGTGAGGATGAGGGAAGGGAATGGGGGAAGGGAGAGGACAGGAAGAGATGAAAGAACCTATTTCCTCCTCTCCCATCCTAACTCAAGATGGGCAAAGAGAGATACACTAGATCAGTCCTAACCAAAGTTCAGTGATTGTCGCCGTTGAAAAAGAATGCTGAAGACACATTTGAGTTTCATTTATAAACCGTCTCCTCCTCCCCCATGAAAGACGCCCCTGAACACTTCTGAAACACCTAAGGCTGTCCTTTAGCCAGCTTCAACCACCAGCTTGCTTGTGAATTCCCAGTCACAGACTTTTGGAATCACTGGAAGCCCAGATTTGCAATTTCACCTTGGCAAGTGGCAATGACTCATTCCATACGCAGATTGAAACAAACAAACAAAACATTTGCCATTCCCAGGGGTCTACTTGTCAGCCTGGCCCTGGGGTTGGGCCATTTCCATCCTCTGCCTCTGCCCAGCTTGGTCAAAAACAAATGCACACACACTGAGGCCCACCTCCTTATTAAATCCACTCTTTCTTCCACCAGCACTAGCTTAGGACGCCCCCCAGCTAGTGAGCCTGTGTTATGGTGGATGTGGGAAGCCATGTCTCCCTCCGGATGCTCCAAGTGTGGAAGCACCTAGCAGCCGCTTTGCTTCTTACCAGCCACCTGGCCCTTTCCCATCTGTTACTGTATGGGATCCTTGTAACAGCCCTGATTAACTGAAAAGGTCACTGAGGCTCCACGGGACAAGCCTCGCCCAATACTGAAAGCTAATCTCCAGCAAAGTCCTGGACAAACTCTGTTGCCTAGCTCCAGCCATCCCACCGATGCTACACGCAATACTCGTAACACAAAACAACTGCTAAGAGAGCAGGGCTGTCCAAGAGAAAACTGAACTGCAAGGGCCCGGACCGAACTCTCTGGACCCCAGTCCCGCCCCAGCCGCAGTAACCACCAAGCCAGACCTAAACGTTGTCTTTCCCCCCCACACTTTCTCTCTTCTGCCTTTTCAAACTCTCTGGACTTGCAATTTGGCACCTTGAGAAGGCAGATCTTTTAAAGGAGTTGGAGAAGAAAAAAAGAGGGACCCTTTCCTTTAAAAAAGAAAGAAAGAAAGAAAGAAAGAAAGAAAAAAGGGCAGAGAGAGAAGAGAAGACAGCAGAAGAGGAAGACGGAGAGACGAGAGGAGGTGAGAGAAGGACAAGAGGCGAGGTTAAGAGCGAGAGCGAGAGTGAGCCAATACCAAAGGCTCCATCCATTCTTTCAACCCCGTCCCCGGCTTCTCCACTCTGCGGCCACTAAGCAGCCGTTTCCTCGCGCGCGCACACAGGAACACAAACCCGAATCCTGCGCTCCGCCGCAAGCCCCGGCTACATTGCCCACCCCGACCTTACCGTACCTGCCCGCCAGGGACCGCCCACCCCGGGGCGTTCTGCCGGCACCGCTGCCCATCTGCCGCGAAGCCCCCGCAGGCGCGTCGGAGGCCCCGTGGTGAGATCGTGTCAGCCCTTAATTTGGTTACATTCAAATAAAACGTTTCGTGCACTTCGGTAGCTAACATTGTGTGTGCTTTTTTTTTTTTTTTTTTTTTTTCCTGTTACGCCGTCAAGGCAGGGGGTAGTGAGGGGAATGGCACAGCCCTCTCATTCCCGGAATGTAGTCGATCTCAGCTCAACGGATTTCACAGAACACTCTCTGCCTATCGCCGGCTCCAACGAGAAGTAACTTTCCAGGAAGCTGCCGGCCCCCGACGGCCGCCAGGATCGCCGCCTGCGCCGCCAGAGCCGCCGGGGATTCACCCGGGAAGGGGGGGCCGCCCCGGGAGGCTCGCGGGGAATAGGCGCACTTTCCTCTAAATCCCTCGCCCGCGCCGGGTCCAGGACTCTGAGTTCACCCGGTCCAGCCCTTCCCCCAAAAGTTTTATAAATGGGGAAAGTCGCACAAGTTAGTAGCAGAGTCACTCTAGAACCCAGGAATTCTGGTCCAATCTGAGACTTTATAACTTCAAATTGCCCAATTTTGGCCTTTGTTTGCCCGGTGCGTCATTTATTTATTTTTGCTTTTTGCTTGCCTCCGCCCCCTTTAAGAGGATGGTTACGCCAGGCATCAAGGTCAAAAAGACGGGAGTCCCTAGACTGAGGGTCTCCATCCAGTGCGCGCAGACTACTTGTAAGAAAACCAAACAGAAAGCCCCTTCCGCCTACGTTGGCAAATAGGGGAACCCTGCTAGGCTCGGTTTCCGCCCAAGTCTTTAGAATAGGAGCTGCAAGGCCGAACCTGGCCAGATTTCGGGATTTCGGAATCCGATTTCTCCGAAACCGTAGAGACGCGGTTAGGATTCCGCAGAGGCCGGGGCGCTGACCCCAGCGCGCGCACGAGAGCGTTCCAAGGTTGGCTCGCTTTCTCTGGGCCTTCCTCAGAATTAGAACCCCTGGGCGCCCTCTCCTAATTGGTCCTATTAGTGGGCTCCGAGAGGACTTTTTCGGGGCTGGGGTTTGGAAAGACGCAGTACGTAAGGCCGCAGTCCAGTCCTAAAACTGGCGGGTGGCGTCACACTGCGCCGCGCATCCCATCAGCAGCGGAGGCGGGGTCAGGGCGGTTGGTAAAGACTGGGCCTCCTCCGCCTCATAAAGCCCTACCTTGAGACTTTCTCATCCCTTCGCCCGGTGGAACTAAGGGGAAAGCGAAGGTTGAAATTTAATATGGAATGGGGGTGAGTATCTAGGAAGGGAAGTGAAAATTAAGTACATGCGCTTATTGGAAATTAGGATTCCCGTGGTTCCGGGAGCTCAAACCTAATCATGTCTTACCGCTGCTAAACACTAGAGAGAGCCCTCCATCAAGGCTTGAAACCGACAACCCCCATGTAGCTCCGCCTCTCCTTCCCATTGACCTACTTTAGACACAGTCTCCAGATTTGGAGAATGCCTCTCGCACCCCCCCACCCGCCCCTTCTCTAATCCCGGCCGGCCCCTGGATTATTGGTAATTTAATAACTCCAATAACTCGCCGAGAAATCCGAAGGAGAATCTTGAAGCGCAAAGCACTGTTTAGGGGAAGGATCTAGGAATTTTGATAAGGCTGGAGCTGCCCTCGTGAAACCAGCATCAGGGCTCCTGCAGGAGCGCTCCCTTTCTGCGCAGCGGCTCAGCTAACTAGCCGCTCCAGTTTAGCCACGGTGGTCCAGCGGTAGGGGGTGGGGTTAAACCGCGCCTCTGTTTTTGCTTTAAGAGTGAAACACTCTTCGCTCTCTTGACGGGGAGGGGGGGCGGGAGGGCGGAGGAGACGACAATAAATTAAAGCGAATTTGATAACACGGTAGGCTCGGCAGTCGCTTTGGGTGACCGAGGTGTCCGGGGACATTATGTCCTGACTTTATTTCTATCACGTTTCCTGCCAACAGCGCTCTTTCAAGCCTGCAAGCTTCTAGGAAATGCAATAAAATAGAGGGATGTGTTTTATCATCAAGATCTGAAGAGGAGCTGCTGAAGGGACGCTCCCCATGCGCCCAGCTCGCGACAGCCTTCCAGAAAGAGCCGGCAGACAATGCCAGCAAACCGCGTCCCCGAGCAAAGATATCTCGGCCATCCAGGCTGGACTGGGCTCAGCCTTTGCAAAAAGGCTGCCGGGGGAGGGGAGCGGCATGATGTCCCCAAGCAAACAATGCCTTTAAAAATCCGATCTGGACAAAAGTCAGCCAAGGTCTTTAGTCACGTTAATGAAGATGGAAGGCACTAACTGTCCTTGGAAAGCGATGAGTCAAACTTGACCGCTCTTCAAACATATCCCCAGATTCGTTTCCAACCCGAACAGAGGCGCGTTTCTCCGACGCGGCCTCCGACTGCTCCCGCGGTGGGAGAGGCTGAACTCGATTCCCTCAGACCAGGGCGGTGGAGACGGCATCTCCCGCGAGTGGGCGCGCCGGCGGCCGTCGCTAGGGGTCGCCGGTACCCCTACGCGCCTTTGCCATCTTAAGTTTTGAACTCCGAGAAAATAAAACTTTGCTTGATAAGCAGCTATGTGGCCCAAATTCTATTAGGACTACACCCTGCCTGTCCACATGAACCCCCCCTCCATCCCTGACACACACGCACGCGCACACACACACACACACACACACACACACACACAAGATCTCTGCCCAAGCCACTAAGCAGTCTGGAAGAAAGGGGAAGATGGTCATTCAGAATCCAAAGGCGAGCCTTGGGTGCAGCGAGGTGCATCTCTGCAAGTCTAGGGACTGGGACTTAATCACCCACTAACACAGGCACACTCCTCAAGATCTGGGACCCCCACCCCCGAGCACTGCGGTAGGCTTCCCTTATCTGTCACTGAAAATCTTATGCTGTACTTTCGAAACTCCTCCAAGACATCTGGGGTACTGTTTCCAGCTATGCTGACCTGAGACATTAAAGTCATGGGTCTCTCTTACTGCTGCTCCTTTCTCTTAGATACTTCAAAGGTGCAGAGATAAACTTGCCTTTGACTTTAAGTCACTGACCTGGAATTCAGAAGGTAAAACTCTGGTCCCGGTTAGGGTTCTAACTCACCAGCAACAGGTGCCCCTCATGAGGCCGCTTGTTTTCTCAACTGTCCTAGAGTTTTATGTCCTAGAGCCTCCATGCGTCTCTCCACTACCCACTTCACCCAGGGAGACGCCACAGCGACAGAAAACGTGTTCAAAACGGGTTATCTTATTAAGGTTCTCTTACTGGAGGCAGATTCCACTCGCTGAGCGACGGTGGGCAGGGCAAACATCTTAAGACTTCCGAATTGTCATCTATCTTTCCAAAATTTTGGAGGTTAGATGTCATCCTCATTGGATGTTGCCCTCTTCTGTCAGTTCTAGCACCTGGTAGGGATACTTGGAGACCCGAAGGTGACAGGGTCCGTCCGCCGCCCTAGGCGGGGGACTCGGCTACAATCCACCACTAGGTGGCAGACTCGGTCCGTTCGAAAATCACAGCGCAGCCACAGCCTTCCACAACCGACTGCCCCCCGCCTTTTTTTTTTTTTTTTTTTTTTTTTTAATCTGTTAGCGGGAGGAGGTTGCTTCTATAAGCAACGCTGCAAAGCATTTAATTTACTGGATGTAATTCCGTTCTTCCCGATGCTCACTCCTCTAGCAACCAACCACAACGCGGTTTCTGGAGCTGCGTTCACGTATTACACGTTGGTTTTTCCAGTCCCAAAGGCTGAATGTATTAGAAGGGAAGGAAAGGGTGCGCTTGTCTTCAAAAAGCAGAACGGAACTCGAAGGTATTAGGCGAGCTTCTTGCCAAACACTGGTCGAACAGCAAAGAAAGTCGGGAATAAACTCCTGATCCCCATGGAGAAAAGGGGTCCTGGAGGACAAGGGCGGGTTCTACCCAGGCTTACAGCGCTCGGTAAAGGCGGAGGGGGGCGGGAGTGGGAGGGGGTGAGTTTGGTCTTTTGGCGGGGCTGCTGGTCACAGACTGGGAGGCGGGGAGGACTGGGAAGAGCCATTCCTGGCTTCCAGCGGGGCGAAGAGAAAGGGGCCGGCTTCGCCACAACACAGCACCCTCGCTCGGATCACTGCGGTGGCATTCCCACTTGTTGCGCAGTGCAGGAAGCCGGCACGCGCCACAGTACTTCGACTCCCAGAAGGCTCCAAACCCAGCTACAGACCAGCTTACCATTGCCCCACGCCATCCACAAACCTCCGTCCCCAACCCAGCCGCCATAGACGCGACCATCACCGCCGGCAAAACTACAGGACTTCCAATCACTGGTTGGTTTTTACACCAAGACATTCTTCCTTATCTCAGTGTCAGACTGGCAACAGAATTCAGGTGCTCTGAGAAATCAAGTCCAAGGGGGAAGGAGGCTACCTCCGTCTGGAGAACTCACCTACTTAAAGCCTACTAGGCAGCCC